GTACACACATGCGGCCCGGAAGGACGTCCCCGCCTCCCACCTCGTGCTTCATCTGGAAGTTCTGCACGAGGTTGAGGTCGGTGAACATCCGGATCGTGCACAGCGCTGTTTCCAGGTCAGACAGCTCAAAGTCACTGAAGCTGAAGTCCGTGATCCTCAGGGTCTGGGCAGATGGCACCACAGCGGCCTGGGTGAGAGCAGACAGTGAGTACAGCTGCCCAGAGCAGCAGCAGGGCTCACGCAGTCCTCTGCCTTCGCTATGGGCACCCTGTGTCTGCTTTCCTTCCGAAGGTCATTCACTGGAGACATTCGTCTAGGAGGCCAGATGGAAGGAGGAGAGAGGGAGCTGCCCCAGGACTGAACCTAGGACAGGTCGCAGGACTCAGGCCTGGATCCGCCCCTTTATGCCTCCCAGTCTCGTTCACAGACAGACGTCGCAGGACTGCAGGGGGAATCGCGTGGGGAGCAGGACAGTGACGATGCTCTGAGCACTTCACGTTTCATTCTCAGACGGTGTTTCTCAGGCACAGAAACCTAGGCCCAGGGGTTAACTTCCTTCCCCTGCCCCAACACCCACCCAGGGGCCGGCTAGAAGACTCGGTGGCCCCGCTCAGTAGGTCTCAGTCGCCCAGGGCTGGCTCTGTTTCTTGGAGGGGGATGTGTTTTCTGATTACCATCTGGTGTTGAGCGATAATCATTTAACTAGTTCACACCAGCAGTTTCGTCACATCCACCTTGCTCATTTTCATCGATGTTCCTCTGTGCCTCCTGCCTCTCCTGGAAGCACCCACGTCCTTTAGGTGACAAGCCCCTTTAAGGCACAGCTGCCACCCACAGAAGGGCCCACGCCCTCGGAGCTGACCCGGCTTGGGAACTCCTGTGACATTACTCAGAGTTCACCGATGGGCTTTCCTGTGCTTCCCCGACCACGCCGGGACCTACGCTTCCCTGCATCCATTGAGACTCCCGATGAGACAGTTTTGAAATGTGGTAGTACGGACATTTACTAAATGAATGCAAGAAGGAAACCTCATTCCCTCCACTTAATTTGAGTCATAAGTTCTGGTTTTAAGGGCCCAAAACCTCTGAGGAGAGTTAAGCCGATCACCTGGGCTAGAAAACGAGCGGACTTGGCATGTACCTTCCGATGCCTCTCGTTTGGGACTGAATGTTATTAAAAATCACCAAGTTTGTTATATTGTTTGGTTTGGGAGAGTTTAAGCAAAAGTAATGGATTTCTGGTTTCTCCTGAGAAATCAGGCCACACTGAGCCCCAACTCCCATGAAGCAACACTGGCCAAGGCCAAGTCACCGAGGTTCCCGCAGGCAAGCCGAGCTGTCGCCGTCTCTCCCAGATTTCTTATGGTGTCCAGGATCGGCACTGGCAGGAACCCCCACTCCCCTGCCCCTGACCATCCACCCTTCTCCCCACCCTGGACTGTCCACCCC